ACTACAAATGAAATGAAAGGATATTCAGAAAATAATGGAGAAATCCCTTGTCACCCTCGTGCCCACCGAAGGCTCTACCAAATCCATTGTCTGTCAATAGCCAAAGGCTGCTGATAAAACAGAAGTCACCGTTGTCTCACGAGGAGAGCAGAGCCCAGCCCTGGTCCCTGTGTGCCAGCCCTTCCCACATGGGTTCATGAACAGACTGAGTGTGCCAAGGGACAGCCCCATCCCCAGGAACCTGGAGCTCCCTGAGCTGTTAGCTGCAAGCTCAGCCAGAGCCCCTAATGTGAAATGCATGTTGGTGAAACCGAGAGATGATTGTAAAAATAAGGGTCAGATTTCTCTGGCTGAGAAGCCTCCCACGTTACCCCAAGCCCTCTGGTTTCCTGCCTTCTGGCATGTGTGACCTTCWGCACAGTAACCCCGGTGCTCCCCACAGAGCTTGGGATGGCAGGAAGAATAAAGGGGAGTGAAGACTTGCATAACRCTCATCCAGGCTCGCCAGGAAAATAAGGAGGCTGCCTGAACCGAGAGCATTGCTGGCCTTTTATGTCAGCTTTTCAAATGTGAGAATGGGCCTCCCTGCTTTGGGCTCACCAGGACCCTGCCCCGCTGAGAGGGACCCCAGGGTGGCTGCAACACTCACCCATCCTCTGGAGCTCCCAGAAGATACGGCAACCTAGGTATGGACATCTTCCTGCCTCACCTGGGCTGCCAGAGGTTTACCCAGTGCTGGCAGGGAAAGCCAGAGGAGAGAGGATGGGAATGGAGCCCATGACATGGCCGAGCTCCTGATGCAGCTGGTTCTCACTGGGGTGTACGGCTGTGGCCAATTTTCCATCTTTGTGACTGCTTGGAAATTCATCTCTGCTCARGAAGCAGCACCACTGAGAGCAGAAGTTTTGGGCACTCTCTGACAGGGGTGAGGGGGTGTCCCCAACCCCCGGCAAGGATGAGGCTGTGCTCTAGAAGCCTGTGCCACCCTCGGAGCAGTGGGGGTCAGCAGGAGCCAGAGCGGGCAGCAGGAACCGCATGGCCGCTGTTCAGAGTGGGAAGTGATGAGGTTTGAGCTGGCAAATTTGCTTGGGRAGAGCGGGAAGAGGTGACCTCAGGGGTGGTCACCTCTTGGCCAGAGCAGGGATGTGACGGATGAATCCTCGCAGGACCAGGTGTGAGCAGGGACTGAGGCACACGGGACACCCGCTCCGGCCGGGAATGCTGCCAGGGCCTGGCTGGSTGAGACGTGCTGCTGTGCTCAGACRGGGCCGGCAGGAAATCCCTGCTGCATGCTTCCCGACCTCTGCTGAATCAGAAAAACTGCTCCTCTGGAAAACCTAAATTTATCCCTGAAGCCGTGACGATGTGTTTCACTCATCTCACTCCCTCTCACTGGAGTCTCCCTTATGTTTGGCATTTCCAGCAACAAAGCAATGCTGTGAGCGGTGACGTGAGCCCGGGGCTGAGCAGCTGCAGGAATTCGAGTGAGCACAGAGCCGGCTGAACTTTCACACAGTGACCTGCCAGGTCAGCCTGGGAAGGAATGGGGTGGAGAAAGGCAGAGAACAAAGACACTCAGCACAGCACACCCGCTCACAGCCTGATGTGCACGGGACAGGGACAGGGATGGGGATGGGGATGAGGACAGGGATGTGCCACCACGTGTGTGGGGACTGTTTGAAGGAGCTACTTGTGATGTGTGTGGGGATACTGCCCTTCCTGGGTGTCTGAGCTGGTGGGATTACATGAAAGAAGGGATAGGGATGGATACAGTGACAGGAATAAGGACAGGGATTGGAGGATGGGGATGGGRGCATCCCTCGGTTCCTGCAGAGGGATCTCCACAGAAAATAACTTCCTCTGGAGTCTGCTGTTCCCTGCCCAAAGGCTGACCTCARACACCCACAGAGACCCCCAACAGTCATCATGCCCTGCTAATCCCTGTGCTGGTCTGGCTCCCAACCCCACAGGGCTGGGGTGAGTCCTTGTGGAGACCCTTCTGGGGACCTGCACGGGGGCAAAGGGTCCTTCATTCCCTGGCAACAAACCTCGACCCTTCCCTGGCCCCAAGCCAAGCTGGGCAGTTGGGACCCCACAGAGATTTTGACCATAGCYCTTTTCCACACAGGATGCAGCAGGGCACAGAGAAATGCCCCAGGAGCTCACACCCTGCTGCCCAGGCCATTTTAAGCTCCATTTAAACCCGAGAGCATCCAGCTCTGTGGAGAACATTTTCCTATGAGCCTGTGGTCATTCCCAGCCTGTGGTCATTCCCAGCCTGAGGCAGCTCACGGCCTCTGAGGGCTTTGCATTTGCGTACCTTGAAAATCTGTATTTCTCGGGGCAAATTTGAGACGTCACAATAGGAAAACACAGCCAAAGGAAAACGCAGCCAAAGGAAAACGCATAAATCATGTGGCTTCTCAACAGGCCTTGGCTTCTCACATTCCCTCTCTCCTGCCTCAGCACAAACACTGCCACTGCAGAAAATAACCAGTGGGAACATGTCTGCTGCAGCAGCCCGAGGAACGCTGTCGTTTCCCAGGACAGGCTGCAGTGTTGGGTAAYGCTGGGCAGGGAGCAGAGCTCACACCGCATTCATTTCGCCTGACATCGTCCACCACAGCCACAGCCAACACATGAAACTGTGCTCCTCTGTTTGTCCCAGTCACTCAKGGGTGGTGTTTCCAGTCCAGAGGGCTCTCGGGGTGCCAGGTGCTTCATCCTTGGGYTCCATGGGCATGGCTCCTGCCAGCTCGCTCCCTCCTGGGATGCCAAAAACCAGCAGTACAAGCTGAGAAGGAAAATCTGAAAATTTTCATTTTTCAGATTCCACCTGGGAATTTTTGGCAGAGCTTTGGCTGCCCCCACAGTCAGGGGTGGTGGGTATGGTGGCAGATCTGTCCTTGGTAGGGGGCTATGACCTGGGGGCAAAGGAGCACAGACCAGCCAAGGGCACCCCAAAGAGCCTGGCAGGGACCCCAGGCCGAGCAGAGAAGGTTGTTGGGGAGGGCAGTGGAACCTCTCCCCATCACAACCCCCCCTCTCTGTCCCCAGCTCCTCTCTAGCAAAAGAGTCAAGGACAGAGGGACTCCACAAASCACAAAGATTTGGAAAAAGAGGTTCACATTTTTATTGTTTCTTTTTCTCCTGCAGTGCTTCCTACTTGTTTTCTTTCCTCCCTTGAAAAATTCCTTCTGACCATGAAATAAATGCAAAAACAGTGGCTGGCAGAGGGGGCTTGGGGCTCCGGAGTTTGTGCCTGCTGGAATTTCCGAAATTCCTCTTTAACCAGTTCCTACCTCCGTGACTGTGCCCTGAGCTGTTGCTGCTGGGTGCTTGCTCTGAGTTCTCTCACTCACTGTTTGGACCGTGGCAGCCTGGGAAATGCTTGGAGATGGCATGGGGACTCCTGGAAAGATAAATCCTCCTGCCAGGCATTTCTGGACAAGGTTCCTGGTGCCATGCCTGAGCTGCAGGGCTCTGAGCAGCAGCAGTGGGATGGAGGCAGARCTGAGCAGAGCAGCTCGGCCCCAGACCCCACTGCAGCCCCGCTCCCTGGGGGCTCACGTGGGCCAGACCCAGCCAGGGGCGGGAAGCAGGGATTTGGCTCCAAAATCCGGAGCAGGAGGAGAGGCAGGTCCCTGCTTGAGGCTGCGTGGTGCAGAGCAGGGATGGAGCCCTGGGGCAGCAGGAGGAAGCGCCCCATGGGGAGGGAGCAGAAGGGCTCCATCTGCTCCAATCCGAACAGAGCAGCTCCATCACGGTGTGTGAATTCCTTCATGGAGAGAAAACACRGAGACTCAAAAATCCCTTTAAGCCAGCGGAAAAAAAGGCAGGACAAGAAGGAAGAGCCAGAACCCGGGGTCCAGGGCATTGTCAAATGAAATAAGATGCTAATTTTTCACAGGGGGATCATTGAAACCTGTGGGGGGAGGGTAGTGAGGGATGGGTATATTCATCCTTGTCACTCCTGAAAACGAGCAACGTTTAGAGGAATGAACATTCTGTTTCCCCCAGGTGTACAGAGGAGCTGACCCCRAACATGCCCCCTCCCCAGGGTTGGCAGCACCCACCTGTGCCAGGCCAGGGCCCCACAGCAGAGTCCTGTGCCCGCAGTGGGCACCTGCCCGGGGGTCCCAGCACCCATTTGGACACTCAGGGTACTCCTGACCCGGGGACAGTGGGTCCCAGAGGGGCACGGCCTCGGGAGGTCCGCAGGGATGGGGACCAAACATCAGGGCTCGGTGCAGATCAGGATCCCCAGTGCAGGATGAGGGGCAGGACAGTCGGGATGGGATAGGGATGGGCACGAAGATGAGGATGGGAATGGGGACAGGCATGGGGATAGGAACAGGGATAGGAATGGGGATGGGAATGGAGATAGGAACAGGGATGGGAATGGGGACAGGGGTGGGAATGTGGACAGGGATAGGAAAGGGAATGGGAACAGGTATGGACATGGGATGAGCAGGGGAATGGGGACACGGATGGGGACATGGATAAGGACAGAGATGGCACGGGCAGGGCTCAGCGGCCGGGACCAAGGCTGCCCCGGGCGGCGGGGGGGGGGGGCAGAGAGGACTTGGAACGGGCGGCGGATGCGGGGCCTGAGCCGAGGCCGACGGGGAGGGCGAACAAAGCGGCGGGGCAGGGCGGGCGGGGAGGGGCCGGTGCGGGGCCCTCCCCGCCACGGGGCGATAAAAGCGGGGCGGCGGCGGAGGCGCGGGGAGCAGAGCAGAGCGGAGCGGGCACGATGCGGCTCGGCGGGGCGGCGCTGCTGCTGTGCGCGGCGGGGATGGCCGTGGCCCCCGCACCGGCACCGGGAGCCGGGCCCGAGCGGCGGGCGGCGGCGGCGGGAGCCCCGCGGGAGCGCCGGGCACAGTTCGCCTCCTGGGACGAGGTGAACGTGCTGGCTCACGGGCTGCTGCAGCTSGGGCACGGCCTGAAGGAGCACGTGGAGCGCACCAAGGGGCAGCTGCGGGAGCTGGGCGGGCGGCTGAGCGCCCACAACAGCTCCCTGGGGCGGCTGCTGCGGCAGGCGCGGGAGGCGCAGGAGCGCGGCGAGCGGCTGCGGGGCAGCGTGCGGGAGCTGGAGGGCCGCGGCCGGCAGCTGCTCAACCTCTCCGAGGCGCTGCGGCAGCGGCTGGAGGAGGTGGCAGCCGACAAGGACGCGCTCCAGGGGCGGCTGGAGCGGCTGGAGGGCCGGGTCCGTCTGGCGCTGCAGGCGCGGCCGGCCGGGAACCAGAGCGCTCGGGACCTGGGGGCGCTGCAGGTGAGTGCGGGGGGCGCCGGCATCCACCGGGGCAGCGCGGGGGGGGCACCGGCCCGGCCGAGCGGGATGGAGAGGACCCGACACTCCCCTGCCTCCGGCACCGGCGCGGGGAGCGATGGTGGGGGGACACACCCCAGAGCCGACCCTCCAGGGGACACCGGGAGCGACTGCGGGRAAGAGCGATGGGGCACCCGACTGTTCGGGACATCGGGAGCAGCGGGCGGGGATCGGCTTCAGGAGAGCGAGAGATCCTGGGGGCACCCGGAGCACCCTCCTGGGAGTCTCGCATGGCCAGAGCTCCCGGAGCTCTGAGGCTCACCCGGCTCTTCCCCCACAGTCCCTGATGGATGCTCAGAACCTGCGGATCGAGGAGCTCCTGCAGAAAATCAAGCAGCAGCAGTACAAGCTGGACAAGCAGAACCTGCAGATTAAAAGCCTTCAGAGCAAGGTGAGCCCCTGTCTTGTACTGCAGCCCCAGCCTGGCCCCTGGTGTGATCAGCACTGCTGTCCCTGCTGCTGTGTATCATCAGTGATGTGAGGGTGGCAACCTACAACCTTCCAGAGAGTTTGCACGGAGCAATAGGAGGAACTGGTGAATGGGAACTGCCTCCCTGAGCTCTGCCTTTGCATTCATCTGCAGAATAAATTAGCTAGCACGGGTGTGAAAAACCACAATCATTTCTGGCTTTGGCAGGACTGGGTATCTCCTCTTCCTCGAGGTTTCTAGGCAAGTTCAGCCCCAGCTCTGGCCACAGGGAGAGGCTGGCGTGTGGCCGACCAGCTCCCCAGGGTAACAACATGGAAAACAAGCYGAGATAAAACTGTTCTGACTTGTGCATTTTTTTTTTTTTTAGGTCAATCTACTAATTCCCCTACACCACAACAAAACACAGTCTCCAAAGTGGAAGATAAACCTGAAGAAGAGCCTCAATCTGACCAACCAGAGTCAGAATGGCAGTGTGGAGCCTGTGCAGACACAGAGTGAGTATCTGCTGGTGCTGCCCTGCTCGTATGTGCCAGAGCAAACCTGCAGCAGTTGCAACCCTTGGGAAACAAAAGATTCATTTGTTCCGAGCCAGTATATAAGATTTGCTAAAAAACTGGAGCTTGGGAGTATGGCTAGAGTGAGGGGTTCTGGAGCACAGGCATAATCCTTGCCTTCTGGGCCAGTGTTAGTCCAGCTGGAATTTAAGGATTAAAGAGGCTTTTTCCTGCCTGGTGTTAGGAATGCAGTGGGGAGCAGACAAAGCCTTCGAGCAGGTATTTGTCAGAGGATTGGCAGGTGGGGGTTGAAGAGAGGAGGGTCTCAGCTCTTTGGAATTAACTCTTGTTCACCTGCTTACACCTCAGCAGGCAGGATGTGCTTTGCTGTGTGTGGGAGGAGGGGAGGGTTCGGGAGCTCTGGCCTAGAGCAGAGCTGTGTTTGTGTGTATCCCTCTCCCTTGGCTCACATTAAGAGCTCGTGCATGAAACACAAGAGTCTCAGCTCGCACTGTGCTCAGCAGAAGGTGTTGAGTGGCAGCAGATGCCCAGGCAGTGGATGCTCACAGCCCTTGGAGTGTGCACTAGAGCAGGCGAGTGGAGCTGCATCTGCAGCTCTGGCTGTGCCTGGAGCATCCTCTCTGCTGGCAGCAGGGCTGCAGGGGCTCCTGCTGGGCAAGGGGCAGCAGAGCGGTGTCCCCAGCTGTGCCATGTCCTGCAGCTCCCTCCAGACAGGAACTGGTGTCCCCGCAGGGCTGGCTGGCCAGGAGCAGCTGCTGTCATGTTGTGTCAGCTAAATCACAGTGCTGGCTCTGCCTGTGCAGCTGTCTGGGGATCTTCAGCGGGAGCAAAACAGAAACTAGGCAGGATGAGGAGGCACAGGGAATTCCTGCTCRGGCCTGATGCAGGGATGGTKATGGGAAAACACATGGTRATTTGTCTGTGGAGCTCAGAGCTGYCACTGGTGTTTGAAAGCTGAGTGGGCAGAACARTGGGTTTGTCCCTTGGACAAGAGGAGAGGTGGGATGTGGGGCTTTGACCTCCTCGTGGTGCTCAGCTCAGTGGGGCTGTGCAGGGTCAGCCTTGCTCGGAGCAGCACYACCAAGCCAGAAAACTCTCAGAACTCCTCTCCCTTTTTTTCCAAGTTCTACTTTGTGACTTGCCTGCAAGTAGTGTGTGTCATAGAATTGTTTGGGCAGGAAGGAACTTTTAGAGGGCATCTAGGCTAACCCCTGATTCCACTCCTGGGTTGTGCTGAAAGYGGGGTGCAGGGAGATGGGTTGGGACCTTTGCTGCTTGCTGCTGCAAGATGTGGGCTGTTCTGGCTGATGCTGCCTGTGAAATGTTGGTGATGCAAAGCAGGAGGCAGAGAGAGCCTCAGCCCTCACAGATGTGTGAGCTCAGCACCTTTCAGTGTTGCACTGTCCCTGATGGAGAGACCCCGGGCATCCCAATTCCCCCCACCCAGCTGGGAGCTCCCCCTTCCCTTGCCTAGTCCCTGATGTTGGTGTCACTGACAGAAAACAAATTGGCTTACTTTCATTAGCAAGTCGGGTGAGTTTTCTGGCAAATCTTAAAGCACACAAGCTGGCCCCGTGCCCTCTGCCTGGGGAGGCTTGTGGCTGTTTTCAGAGCGGGACAGTGCTGGGGAGGCTCGTGCTGGCGGCTCCTGGACTATTGTCCAGCCCAGCCTGGGGCCGGTGTGGCCCTGGGGAGTGGAGATGAACTCCACCAGCAGCCCTTGCAGAAAGACCCTTTTATTTGCATCCAGCCAACACAAGTTTTTTCAGGGCAGGGCTGGCCTAGGGCCAAGCATGTGAAAGTTGAGGGCTCAAAGCTGCCTGGAGAGTGAGAGATTTAATAGCTTGCAGAAAGAGGATCACGTCTTTGGGCAGAGGCTGTGCTCTGGCAGCCAGCCAAGTAGGGGAAAGGTAGAGCCCTGCTCATGCTCTCCCCGTGGCGCTGAGACTCCAAAATAATGGGGTTGGGTTGGGTTGGGGCGGGAGACGGGGAGGCAATGCAGGCAGCTCTAGGCATGCCCTGCCATCCTTSAGGATGGTTGTTTATACCGGGATGGTGACCTCCCTTGTGTCATGGCTGCAAATCCTGTTGGGTGAACACGGAGCCTGAGGGCAGATCCAGCCTTGTTGTCTTGCTGGGCTGAATAAAGGGGGAGGGAAAAGAAAATACAGGAGCACCCAGGAGGGCTTGTTCTGGTGCTGTTCGGATGTGCAGCATGAACTGGAACTAACAAGCATGTTCCTCTAACAAAAAGATTGAGCAGAGGCTGTTCAAGCAGCTGCATCTTGTTCAGCTGCTGGAGAGTCCCTGTGGCACCAGGGGAACAGGAATCGAGTGTGGGGAGTGTGGCCAGGACCCAGAAATGAGAAACAGGCAGGGATGGGGTTTACTTGTGCATGCTTGGACCRCTGAACATCTGCCTGGCACCATCCCATCAGTGCTGGATGGGAGTGGGAGAGGAGCTGAGGAGCTTGGCAAGCCCAGCACCTTCCTGCCGTGGCAATATGAGCGGGGGCTCTGGCTGGGGGGTTCCTTCCTCTGAGCCTGGTTTGCTTCCTTGCCTGCATTGGCCCAGAAAGTGGGGATATTCAGGATGAAGTGGGCATATTTGGGATGCATTCAGCCTCTGCAGTGCTGGTGGGCTGTGCATGGTTTTGATCCTTGATGCAAAATGCCCTCAGTCCCTGTGTGCTGGGGCACAGCTCGTCCTGTGATGCACGGRTGATGGCACCAGTCCTGCACTGGCAGTGCCCCATGGTGTGAGGGTGCTGGCTGTGGAAGAGGGCCTGCCCCTGCTGAGGAAGGGAAATTTCATGGCAGGAGAAGGGAGGGATATGTTGAAAATGTGTGAAAGATGTCACATTTCTGTCCCCTGACCTTTTGTCTGGTTGGGGCTCTGCTCTTCACCCCAATGCAGTGTCAGGGCTCCCCAGCACCCAGTGAGGATGGGACAGGGTGATGCTGTGCAAGAGCTGCTTTTGTTCTTGGCAGCTCAAAGGCCCTGTTTCCCCCCCTCTCTCTGCCCCAGGAAGCCCCTGGCTGCTGGAGGAAGCCCTGTCCCTGCTGCTGCTCTGGATGGTGGGGTCAGCCCTGACCCCGGGCAGTTACTGTGAGGTTACCCCCAGAGCAGGCAGCCCAGCACAGCCCAGGGCTTGTCTGAGGTTTCTTTGCCTGTCTGTCCGGGGTCATGCTGGCAGCAGCTGTGAGCCACCACCACCCATCCACCCCGGCCTGGGGAGAACAGGCCCCCTTTGTCTGGGGGTGATGGGGGCACCTGTCCCTGCTGACAAAGAGCCCCTTGACTGTGCKCAGCCCGGGGCTGAAGTCCCTGCACATCCTTCTGTGGCCCTTTGACTCGGGTGTTGTAACAGGTTCCCGACGTCTGCTCTCTCCCTGCTGTTCCTGGATGGACTTTTATCAGTGCTGTTGAAATGGTGTTTTGCTGGMAGCTCTGGGCAAAGTCCCTGCAGGCCAGGAGGAGCACCGGGAGCCCGGCTGGCCTGGGGATGGAGAGGGACAAGGTGGGGGTGGCTTCACCCAGGGCAATCCACTTGTGCAATGAGCAGGGGCTCCCAGAGTCCACCCCCCCTTCCTTGCCTCGGTCAGTGTGCCTTGGAAAAAGGGTCACCCCAGCTTGGCACTGTGCCTGCTGGTGGCACGCTGCCCAGCAGGACATCTGGCTGGGGCCACCACAGTTGCTGGGAGAAAGAGGTCATGTGCTGGATGCTCAGGSACCTTCCTGCTGTCAGGACTTTGTCTTTCTGTCCCTGAGGCCCCTAGATCCCACTTCAGCCCSGGTGGGATGGGGATGCATGGCCCTGGCATTGCCCCACCCCAAAGGGGCTGCTCCTGCCTGTGGGTGTGCAGGGAAGCTCCTCAGTCCCTCCTCCATGGGGACCCCGGCTCTCCAGCTGAGGTCATCCCAGCCTGGCCCAAAGCCTGGCTTCTGCCTTGGATGGAAGCCCAAGGAGAGCTGTTTGAATAAAAGGGAAGATGTGGGGTCACCGTGTTGAGAGATGAAGTCAGGGGCCATTGTCCCCAGCACATGTCCAGAGCTTCAGCCCCTCCTTGCCCAGCTGGCCGGGCTCGTGGCCAGGGCTGCAAGCGCTGGGGCCATGGCAGGAGCAACCTGCTGAGCAACTGGGGCTGCTGGCCATCCCTCCAATTGCTGTTTCCTTCCTCTGCAGAGCTCCCAGAGGGTTGCCACCAGCTCTTCCTGGCTGGGCAGCGAAGCAGCGGTGTTTTCCAGGTGCAGCCTGCAGGATCTCAGCCCTTCAGAGTCTACTGTGACATGACTGCAGGTAAAGCTGCACACTGTCCTGCAGCACGTGGCGGGGTGCTCCTGTCAGTGGGAACCCCAAGTGACTGTGCTTTCCCTGTTGGCAGAGGGTGGCTGGACAGTGATCCAGAGGCGCATGGATGGCTCTGTGGACTTTGACCAGCTCTGGGATGCCTACAAGAATGGCTTTGGAGACCTTCATGGTATGTGGATGATGGTGTTTGTGTTCTCACTGCGGGATAAGGGAAGCTTAGGAAAAGTTACTCCTCTTGCTGGTCCCTGGAGCTCTCTGTGCTGGAGCACAGCTGTGGGCTGAAAGAGGGGGGACACTGCTTGCAGAGCAGGGATCCTCCATCTTCCTGATGTGTCCTGCAGGTGCCAGGCAGTGATTCAAATGCTGCAGTGCCTTAGGCTGTCCCTGTTTGTTTCTGGAGCTTGCTTACATCTCTGCTCTTTAGGGCATGTTTGTATCCCTGCAGCCAATGTCTTGGGTCTTATTTCAGGTGACTTCTGGCTGGGCCTGGAGAAGATACATCACATTGTCCAAGAGGGAAAATACAATCTCCTGATTGAGCTGGAAGACTGGGAGGGAAATTCCCAGGTGGTTCAGTTTGTGTTCAGCCTTGGTGGTGAGAGCACAGCCTACACACTCAACCTGCTGGGGCCYCTGTCTGGAGAGCTGGAAAATGCCCTTGGAGAGTTCAGGCAGCTGCCCTTCTCCACTCGTGATCGTGACCATGACCTTAAAGCGGACACAAACTGTGCCAAACACCTCTCAGGTCAGTCCCAGCTCTTCTATCCCAGTGTGCCCACTTCTCTCTGAGCCCTCCACTGTCTGGTGGTGCCACATCCCTGGGGCACTGCACCCCTTTGCTGCTGAGCCTGTCCTGTCCCCTRTGTCCCTGAGACATAAGGGTTCCTTGGGAGGAGCTGTGTGGGGAGCAGGAGGGAAGCTGAAACTGGGGGAGGGTTCATGACTGAGGACTTGGCCCAAGTGTCTGTCCTTATAACAGCTTTGTTGTCTGCCCCTTGGCTTGAAACCTTTTCAGGTGGAGAAGAGGCCTCTCCCACCCTGAGATGGGGCTGCTGAAGGGTTAGGGGGGGATTTTTCACACAAGAAGGAGCAGCCTGAATTTGCAGATGCAGCCTGAAGTCAGATAGGATCTCTGAAAGGTTCCCCAGTGCATAGGGCTCCTTGACTGTGCATGAGGTGGTCTTATAAGATCCCAAAGCCAGGGAAAACGGGGTAGCAGCTGCCTTGAACCTGTGTTTTTCTGTCTGGAATTTCTGTGAGTTACAATTTTAAAATTGTCTCTTCATTGCTCTCGTAGGTGGCTGGTGGTTCAGCACCTGTGGCCATGCCAACCTGAATGGGAAATACTTCCGCTCCATCCCCCGGCAGAGGCACGAGCGCAAGCAGGGCATCTTCTGGAAGACATGGAAGGGCAGGTACTATCCCCTGAAGTCAACCGTGATGAAAATCCAACCTGCAGTGCTGGAAGCAGAGCCCTAACGCTGCTATTTGAGACTTTCTTTGTGGAGCACAGACCTGAGCTCCATCACTCGGTGTTTACAGAAGACGACGCCCCCTCCCTTGGTTAGAAGTCCTTTAGTGGCACGAAACTGGTCCTCACTAAAAGTAAAACAGCTCCATGTTGCCAAAACCCCTGGATGGGAGCTCCCAAACATGAAGAGGAGCCATCAGGAGGGTGATCCATGTCCAGAGCATGCACAGGGGTCTACTGACCTGCCACGTGCTGCTGCGGGAAGTTCAAATTGTCTGGTGCTTTCTATCCTGTCTTAACATTTCTGTACTGTGTTGATGAGCTGGGCCTGTGGCAGGTGGGGCACGTGAAGTGTCTCACTGCTCTGGACTACAGCACTGGGTACGGAGCCTTGCTGTGTCCTGTCTTTTGCTGTTCTCCCCAAATGATGTCCCCATACCCTCTGTGAGAGCCCTGGAGCCTCCTTGCCCTGCTGGGGCTGGGGGCAGTGAGCCTCAGGCAGCTTTATATCACATCCCATCCCCCTGAGCTGCAGGGCTTGAGGGGAGGGTAAGGGTCACCTGTGCAGACAGGGAGCTCGGGGTCACTTGCCTTCCCTTTGAAGAGCTGTACTTCTGGCTGTGCTGGAATTTGCTGGGAGCTGGGAAATCTGCTTCCAGCTGTAAGGTTGGTGGGTGAGATCCTGGGTGCCTGAGGCGTCAGATCCTGTCTGGAGCTCTGCGTGGAGCTTGCCAGTGCTGCTGGGGGTGGGCAGAATGAGCAATGAGACAGCACAGACACAGAGCAGTGACTGTCCCTGGGTGGAGACAGAGCAGAGGCTGCCTTCTTCCMCCAGCCATCTCGTGCTTTGCAGGGTGACTGAACCCCATCCCCATGTGTGTCCCAGCACTACAGGGGACAGCAGGGCTCCTCTGCAAGAGCTGCACCTTGTCAGGTGTGTGCCATGCTGTGTGGTATCRCCTCTGCCTTCGGGGTGGGTGTCTGGGGAGAGGTGGCCAAAACAAGTCCCCTGAAAACTTAACAGGCCAAGCTGCAGTCTTGGGGCTTCCCAAGCATCCCACCCTATTGAAGTCATATTGACTACTGTGCTAGAGCTCCTAGCTGCTAAATACTGTACATAGTTGTTTGTAGGATGTTGGACCTTGTTGATGAATTCCCTGTTTTAATTTGTTTTCATATTTAAATGCAGTGTTAATAACAATGTGGTGTAATTTATAAATGTTGATGCTGGAAAGGAAAGCAAGTGTAGTTTGTGTATTTTAAACTTTTTTTGTACTGAAGTATCTTTTCTGAAGATGTCTTTTAATAAAAACAAGCCTTGGAGTGTCCTGTCTGGATTATTTTCCTTCTGGTTTACCTGTTGGAGTATTGTGAGGACTCTGCATTTGAAAACTTCCCCTGTTGGAAGTGTGACCCTCTGCTCTCCATTTTCACCTGTAGCCTTAAGGAGCTCTSAGATAAATTGTTGCTATAGGGTTCAGTAGCAGTTTTGAGTCTGCTGGAAGTTTTTGGGCTCCTAAATTGCTTCCTGGAAATGAGGCACTTGGTTTTCTTATTCCCTGATGGCAGAGCTTTGCAGCCCCCTTGTAGGGGGCTGGAAAAGCCTCTGCCAACTCTCTGAAAAGGTGCAGAGGATGAGGTCTGGATGATCCAGGCCCATTAAGGTCAGTGCTGGGCAGGAGGACAAGCCCYACTAAATAGCAGTCTTTCACCTGCTCCTACCACAGGGGTGTAGGCATCTCCAAAATTGTAACTTTATTGTAACTTCTGGGGGTTTATTACAGGGGTAGGAATGAAATGAGATGGAGTAGGGGCCTTTAAAAGGATGGTGGTAAGTTCCAGCAGTGCTCCCAATCCCACAGATATATATTTTCTCCAGYTCCAATATGCTAGAGCTGCAGGAAATCATAGGAGCTTCTCTGGCTGGTCAAGGAAAGGAGACAAAAACTGCTCATTGCAGGAAGAAGAGATGAGAGTGCTCTAGTCCCCTGAGCAGCTCTCTAAATAACTGATGTACTTAAMTGTGGCCCCAGCTCCTGCATCGGTCCTGCTTCCCTGGGGGCAATCCCAGGATTAATAATAGCCCCAAGCACAACTGTGCAAACAGCCCATTATATCCAGCTCTGTGCTCACTCCTGCATTCAGAAATGCGTTTTTAATATTCCCTCTGCTTAATTCAAAACATGTTTGGTCCCTGAGCGCAGCAGCAGATACAGGAGTGTATATTTTAGTCTGCATGCTGAAGTGATGAAACTGAAGTGGGATTTATGCATCAACTCAAAGTGGGTGAAGGAGCTCTTCTGTATTTACTGATTGCCAGGGTTTTTTGTCCAGAGCTGGGGTTTGCTCCCCTGTGGTCCATTTGATCTACATGAGGTGCCTGGTGGCCGGCCAGTGCCAGCCAGTATCACCAGCCAGGGTTTGATAAATGCCAAATGAGCAAATGCTGAATGCACTAAATCTTGCCTATCCCAGGGACCACAGCTTGTGCTTCCTTGGGTGTTTCAGTTTTGTCTGTTCTGCTGTACCAGTGTCCACATTCCATCGGTGCCAGTGCCACCATGGCATCACTCCCACTCTGGAGTATATGGCATCCTGCAGAAAAAGCCAGTTTGGGTCTCTGTTTTCATCTGCAACGCCCCTGAAATCCTGCACCTCTTTCATTTTTAACAACCGCTTCGGCTGCAGTTGGTGGCAGCATCCAGGAGCTGTCACGGGGCTCCCTCCAGCGACAGYGACAGTGRCAGYGRCAGYGACAGCCGGGCTAAGGCCAGAGGCTGCAGGGTCTGGACACGGTGTGGTGGGGTTTTTGGGACTGGCAGCGCTGTGGGATAGGYTGGGGATGGGCTTCAATGGGTGGCACGGAGCTGGCACGCCTCTCAGAGCCGAGCTTGAAGCCAGCAGTAGCAGCAAGTTGACCTGGGATTCTCAAAGAGAATGGTTCGACCAAGATGAAGTTGTGCATCAGGCACCAGCATTGTGCCTCAGATGTGTTTGTAGCCCGAAAATGTGTGGAAAGGCCGGGCCTGCTGCACAGAGCTCCCTCTGAACAGCAGGAACAACCATCAGGAGACATGAGAGCAGAGCCCCAAGCTCTTTTTTGTTCAACAGTGGAATGGAGATGGCTCTTTAGCAAAAGGGGAAGGTGTTTGTGTGCACACAGAGCTGCACCAGCTCAGATGGACAGGCTGAATCCCTGCATTGCTGTACCAAGGGAAGCCAGAGGCATCACCCAAGCCCCCCACCACCACCACAGCACTGCAGCAGCAGTACAAAACCAAAAAATGCAAATTGGCAAAGCCAACCGAAAACAGAAATCWGCCACACAGCCAAGGAACAGCAAACTGAAAGCAAGAGAAATGTTCTCCAGCCACCAACACTCTCCAGACAGCCAGCCCAGCACTCAGCCTCACCAGTGCCAGCAAGGGTCACACTTTCAGAGTCATCCCTGGGCTCCAAATGCCTCAGGGTACCAGGCAGGCACAGGGGTGCCAAGACTCTCCCAGTCCTTCCAGTTGCTTCAGCTCTTCTGCTGGATCTCAGCAGCCCCGAGCACAAATTGCATTTCTTGTAGACCTGCCTGGCACAGCTYTGCACCTGCTTTGTCCCTTTACCAKGGACACCTCCCAAGCTGTGTTCTGRGGAGGCTYCTTGAGGGTGCTCMCCAACTCCCAGGGGTTCAGATCCCACTAAGAGAGTAGGAAGAGGAATTCCTGGCTGAAGCATCCCAGGCAGATGGCGGTGTCACTGGGATACTGCAGTGGTTGAGGCTCTCAGGACAAGCTTCAGCCTATTAGTGACCATTTTGAGCAAGTTTTTATCATGTCAAAAAAAAAAAAAAAGCAGATGGCATAGTGCTGACAGCTTCTCAGGGTGTGGGCCCCAGCAGAGTTTAACAAAATATTTGGGGCCAGCAAGACCCTCGGTGGCTGGGGAGGAGCACATGGGGTGTGCAGCTGCTGTGAGAGCTGAGGTGAGCTCAGGGTGTGCAGAGGGTCACAGGGGACCCCTCTGGGGTCACTGGAACTGGTGCTGTGAAGGAGCTTTGGTGCCAACAGTGACAGTCTGGGGCAGTGCCGTGGCCCCCCAAAGTGGCATCAGACTGGTTGGACAGGAAAGTTCCCTTGACCGTTTGTTGATCCTGGTTGGACCCCAGGCTGCCACCTGAAGAGTCTCCCTTCTCCYAAACACCCAAATGCTGCCAGCAGGTGAATTCACCTAGCTCTTTGGAGCATGGGTGTTCAAATTCCCTGAGGATATCCAATATGAATGCTAAGAGTGGACCTGGGCCCCTCTGTTTTATTCAGATGTGGTGACACTCCTGCATRTGTGCAGGGAGGCACACAAAGTGGTTGAAGCATTTTAAAAGATAGAGTGGGAGCCTATTAAAAATTGTGTGCTAGAGGCAGTTTTTAATGTTGATTCCTTCAAGAAGTTTTAATCTAAGAGTTGGTCTAAAATTTTTCTTTGGGCTTTGGAA